AGTCATCTAATTGGTCTAATAAGAGGACTTTATTTTACTTTATCTTTAATTTTTATTTATTTATTTTGAGATGGGTTTTGCTCTTGTTGCCCAGGCTGAACTGCAATGGCATGATCTCGGCTCACCACAACCTCTGCCTTCTGAGTTCAAGAGATTCTCCTGCCTCAGCCTCTTGAGTAGCTGGGATTACAGGCATGCGCCACCATACCTGGCTAATTTTGTATTTTTAATAGAGACTGTGTTTCTCCATTGGTAAGACTGGTCTCGAACTCCTGACCTCAGGTGATCCACCTGCCTGGGCATCCCAAAGTGCTGGAATTACAGGCGTGAGTCACCATGCCCGGCCGAGGACTTTATTTTAGAGGCATCAGAAAAGAAGCCCTTAGTAACTCATTTTTGGAGATTAAATTCACCAAAGCCTCTTGTGAAGGAGCACAGGGTAGGCTATCATCCTGTGTTCTAGAACTTATTCCTATACTTAAAAAAATGATTTTATTTTAGAATAGTTTTAGTTGTGAAGATAGTATAGAGAGTTTCTGCATATATTGTACCCAATATCCCCTACTATTAAAATCTTTTTTTTAATCTGTGGTTTTCTTTTTAATTATCTTAAGTCTTATGATCACACATCATTTTTAAATTTGTATATCTCTTCTACTTTAATCCTTTTAAGTTGGCAAAAGCACCATTCCCAATCACAAATGCACAGCAGTTATATAGTTTTGTTTCTGAATGGCTATTTTTAAAGACAATCCTAAATTATAACTTAAGTTTGACTTAGACTGTAAAGAATCCAAGAGTGAAGTTTAATTGGCTACTATTTTAAAAGCATGTGACCTTATAGATCATCTATGAAATGTGTGAAGTGTTAAATAATTTTTGATATTACACATAAACCACACAAAATGCCTTTCAATAAGTAAAAGGAAGCATTTTAAATACAGGGAACTCTAATTAGATTGGCATAGTTAAGGCCAAAAATATAAAATAGCCATTGCTACCCATACTATTAACATATTAACATTTGTAGAGTACATTTATCATAATTAATTAACCAGTATTGACACATTATTGTTAACTGAAGTCCATAATGTATTTATATTTCTTTATTGTTAATCCAATGCCCTTTTTCTGTTCCAGGATCTCATCTAGGATAACACATTGCATCTATTTATTTGTTTCCTTAGATGTGACAAGTTTCTGGTTTTTGATGACCTTGATAGTTTGGAGGAGGACTGTTTTTTTTTTTTTTCTGCTGTTGTTGTTTGTTTTAAAAAATATTCTTCAATTTGTTTGCTGTTTTTCTCATTATTAGACTGGGGTGATGGGTTGTAGGGAGGTAGATTACAGAGGTAAAGTGTCTTTCTCATCACATTGTGTCAAGAGTACATACTGTCAACATGACAACACTATTGATGTTAACCCTGACCACCTGGCTGATGTCATGTTTATGATTCTCTATTATAAATATATACTTTTCTCTATTATATCAATATATACTTTTCTTTATTATAAAAATATACTTTTTCCACCTTTCTGTACTGAACTTTTTGGGAGGAAATCATTATGTCCACTTTACACTTAAGAGTTATGCTCCACCTCTCTGAGATGCAAAAGTAATTGCAGTTTTTGCATTGTTAGAATTTGCCATTTGATATTGGAATACATTCTTAAATAAATATGGCTATGTTATGCATCATTTTAGTGAGCATTTCTCACTTTATGTTATTTTGCTAATGACTTATTACTTGCTGTTTATTTTATATTTCTTTTAGACTATGGAAATAATGTTAGACAAAAAGCAGATTCGAGCAATTTTTTTAATTTGTGTTCAAAATGGGTTGTAAAGCAGCAGAGACAACTTGCAACATCAACAACACATTTGGCCCAGGAACTGCTAACAAACGTACAGTGCAGTGCAGGTTCAAGAAGTTTTGCAAAGGAGACAAGAGCCTTGAGGATGAGGAGCATACTGGCTGGCAAGTGGGGTCCATGGAACTCGGACGTTGACAACGACCAGTTGAGACCAGTCATTGAAGCTGATCTTCTTGCAACTACATGAGAAGTTGCCAAAGAACTCAATATCAACCATTCTACAGTCATTGGGCATTTGAAGCACATTGGAAAGGTGGAAGAGGTCAATAAGTGGGTGCCTCATAAGCTGACCAAAAATAAAAAAAATTACTGTTTTGTGTCATCTTCTCCTATTCTAGGCAACAACGATGAACCGTTTCTCATCGAATTGTGATGTTTGATAAAAAATCATTGTTTTGTGTCATCTTCTTTTATTCTGTGCAACAACAATGAACCATTTCTCATCAGATTGTGATGTGTGATGTGGATTTTTTATGACAACGGGTGATGACCAGCGCAATGGCTGGACTGAGAATAAGCTCCAAAGCACTTCCCAAAGCCAAACTTGCACACCCCCAAAAAAAGTCATGGTCACTGTTCGGTGGTCTGCTGCTGGTCTGATGCACTATGGCTTTCTGAATTACAT